AGATAGAAATGGCTCATTCTAAGATAACAAAAGCACAAAATTCTTACTTTCAGGTGATGAACACAAATAAAAACATACCTTCAAATATTATATTCAACTTCTGCCAATAGATCCTCCTAAATGTTACACACCCCCTGACCTTTAAGGGACATTTTTAGGCTCTTTCGCTTTCCGCAATAACCAGTGATCCACTAGTTTGCATGTGTGTGCTTGTGAGCAAGTCACAGAAAGAAAGACATATATTGAAATGTTTTATCATATTTGTTAAATACATTTTAATTGTTTTCCTTTCATTATAGTAGACCCGCTATGGAGCATTACATACATTCGTTCTGTTTCTTTTTCTCACATTCAGAGTTATAATTACATTGTGAACCTTGTAATACCAGCTTCAGCAATACTCACACCAGTCCAAAAAATATGGACTTAAAACTAAAAACACAATTGAGAGAGAGAGAGAGAGAGCGAGAGAGTGCTCGGAGAGATTACTTCATCATCATCATAGATCATCAGTTCCATCTATTGACTGTCAGAAGTGACTCAGTCTCCCTCAGCACCTGATGTGTACATAATAATCAAACACACAGACATAAATGGTACAGACCTAACACAGTAAGGGAAAATGCTGTTAGATGTCCAGAAAGTCCAGTTTTGGGGATGTTGTGATGAGATAGTTTAGTGTAAAAACTTGCAACTTTAGAAATAACAAAGAGGAAACAAACAAATTTTAATATTGTCAGTCAGGTCTGAATCATTTAGTTTATGTTTGTTTGATGTTTAATATAACTCACTCTTCTTCTCTCTTTCTATGTGGGTGTGTGCACCCGTTGCTACAAGCTGTATATATATGTATGTATGTATGTTAGTAGCTATTTTGACTTGAAACTGTTCATTGATGTCTGCACATGTGTGTATGTGTGTGAAGATAGAAGAAAGTAAGAGAGAAAGACAAAGATATATGTTAAATAGGGGGAAATGGAGCTGACCGTGCTCTCCATGCTTGGACTGGATCTTGGAGATCTCTTCTTGGTGATGAGCTACCTGGCAATGAAACAGCTCAGCTTAACTCAGACTCAGCAGGCTTTACTCCACAGGTAGCTGTGTATGAGCTAACTGTGGGCTAATTTTAACTTTTAAAAATGAATACATTAAATTAAATATATTTTGAAAAGGTAATTCATACATCAAGTTGTACTTAATTTTTTATTGCAAACTCCTGGTCTCCTCAATTTATTTGTGACTATTTTCTTTCTAAATAATCAGTTAATAGTATAGTAGTATAGTATTAAAAGTATATAGTATTTAAAGCCTCTTTTTGTGTATAGTAGATGGGATAATATGTATAGTAGTCTAGTTTACTGTACTATACTATGCATTCTTGAGTTTCTGCTGCTGTGACTCTTAAATTTCCTTAAGTGGGATCAGAAAAGTTGTTCCTATCTTAAAAATGAACAATGTGTGCAATCAGTGAATTCTTAATATACCATGGAGAGTTTAATAAGTAACCTAATAATAATAATAATAACAACCTTAATATAACACATTGCTTCAGTCAGACAGAACCATAGAAAACCAAGACTAAAAACATACCAGCACAATAAACAACAAAGAAAAGTTCATAAATTTAGATTTAAAAACAAAAATAAAAAATAAAAAGAGATAAAGCTCAGAAATATTTAAGTATGAATTCATTTTCATACTTTTCGACTATAACATACATAACAAACATAACAAACACTGTGTCTTAGTGTGTGAACACCTATGATGATCACAGCCAACAGGTATCTGTCCTCAGATATTATTATAATGGAGCAAGTATGGTTTCCCCTTTGGATAAATAAGTGACCAATCAGGAGCCGCGCTGCGCTGACAGTCCGCTGAGGCGGGGCATCACACCAGACGCTCTGGGCTCTCATTGGACGCTGCGCGCTAAGCCCATGACTCGCCAGCCAATCGGAGGCGTCAGTCGATCTGACGACGCATGTGACTGAAAGCTGTTTTCTCTCTTCATGCTGCCGGTGCTGCATCTCAACGAGGCATCCCTTTGATGGGGAACATCTCTCCGGGCTCACGCATCAGTCTGTCAGAGTAGCAGCTGAACACCTGATCAGCATGGACATCCTGAAGTCACTGGGCCACCCGGAGGAGATATTCAACCTCTTTAAGTTTAAAATGGGGGGTTGCAGTACCGTCATGCCAAAGTTGGATTATGTGAGTAAATCCGCTTTTTCTTTTTTCTTTTAAACATGTACAGGCTACTGGGAGCGCATTGGCCTTGTGAATGGAGACAGCAGCCGCATGAAGGCTGGATGCACGGTTGCATTTGCGGATCAGCCCCACGGATCGAGCACATAATGTTCCCCTTTCCATAGCATCTGCACGGACTCGCAACACGGAAACCCGCATTGGCCTATTAATAAGTAGGTCTGTACACGCTTAGTGGAGACAACCTGCATTGTAATGGATTGACCTATATGGTGGTCAGTTTTGCTCCTTCATGAGCCGATGGAAACAGACTCAGCTAGTTGGACTAATTAGATCTGTGCTCTCTCTCTCTCTCTCT